ATATTTTCATATGTACGATAATGGCGAGACATTTTTTTCATGCGTTTTGCACTCATTCACATAACTCTTCTGAACGTCATACATATTGATTCAAATGATTGCATACAGATGACTCAATACATAGGATAGATCATTAGACACATAGGTCTACATCTTCTTTTTTTTTATATAACAATAATAAATAAGATCATTTAAAAAAATTTGTCGTATATGGAATTTGAAACATATTATATATGATCAATATATGCATATTGGAGAACAGTTATGACACAAAATACCTTGATGAAATAAAAATGAAATTTTAAGTGAAAATTAATGTGTTATATATGATTTTGATTTGTTATGCAAATGATTTGATCTTGCATGCTGTTCTATGCTCATTTTAATTAATGAAACAGAACAACATATATCATATTGATTTAAGGTTTTTGTTAACATACTTGATTTTAAAAAAAAAAAGAAAAGAAAAAAAATCAATCACATATTCATCGACGTCAAAATTAGTTAACATCAACTGTTTGACAGCTAATGTCAAACTTTTACTAAAGTGATAATTTAGAATGTAACATACTATAACGATTCAAAATATTTATCATCTTCTATTTAATGAGACCTTCGATCTTGACACATTGAAGTTTTAACAAAAAAAAAAGGATCGAATATATTAAATGCATAATATTATTATTCTAGACGATAGCATTTTAATTTTTGATAATATTAACAATGAATTTTATTAAAAATACGATTGATTTGTAAAAATGAATAAGACATAGAATGAATTTTTTTGTTCGATAATGTATTATCATAATTCTTCTTTATCTATACAAATCTTATTTTCAATAAGATTTTATTTAAAATAATTTAGATTATTAACTTAAATGATGATATATAACCAATGTCAAGATATTAGAAGATTAGATCGAAGAAATTCAAATGAATACTTATTAAAATTGAATGAATGAATGATATTAAAACTATCAATTAACATAAAACAACATGCAGATTATATCATGAAAATGGATGAAGATGTCAAATATGCTAAACAAAAATAGACAGTGATTATTTTATCTCTTATTGATTTATAATACTTTTGCTGAATTTTGTTTAACTTTTTTTTTTTTATGATTTAAAATTAAATATAACATTTACCAGATATATGTGCTGTTTATCAATATTCAAATCATCCATCAAGAGTTAGTTCATTTAGATTTAATGTCCATTACAAAAGGCGACAGATATTTTTTGAATAACTTTTGATAGAAAGTAGGTAGAGTGCTGCGATTTTTACCATTAACAAGATGAGATGGTGTTACATCGAATCATTTTTATAATAAATTCTCCTAAAATGTTTTGCTGAAGTTTTTTAATTAAATTTATAAAAGAAAAGTATTGGAAAATTGCTTTATTTTAACAGTATAACTAAATCTAAAAATCTAAGATTTGCATAGTTCTGTAGATCCTCCATTGACGGTTCGAATGTACACTTGAAAAATTAAAAATTCTCTATAGTCACCTCACAAGGTACGTTAGTTTTCAAAAAGATCGATTGAAAACCTTTTAAAAAACTCAGGTAAAAAAGTATTTCTAATGCATGATTTGATGCATTTTTATCTCCTCTTGCTAAAGATGAAAACCGCAGTTCTCTATGATGTTCCGTTCAAAAGTTATTAAAAAAATTCTCATCCACCTTGCTTTTCAAAATGGGTATTAGTATCAATAATATATCAAGGAAATGCATGTTTCCCATCTTGCGAAAGTTTTCACTTTTTCCCAGCATCAGTCGGTTTCTTTATCAGAATAAAAAAACGTATTACACAATAGGAAAAAAAATTCTCTACAACTTCCTGAATTTTAAAAATTATATACACACTCATCCACTTTTAAAGAAATATCTCGTACGCCATTTTATCACATTCATGATCTCTATACATACCAAATGCTTTCCATTTTAACCGATTGCATATTCCCAAAAAGTCTTACTATATTTGATTGATAAAAATTTCTTGGAAAGTTGAAACAAAAAAAACAAAGGAAAAGAAAATATTGATTTCAACGAGTAATAGATTTTATATATAGAAATCTTTCTTGTATTACTAGAATATTTATTTGATATTAATACGCAATATCAACCACATTTATTTTATTTAAAAAACAAAATATTTCTCCGATATAGTAAAAGATCAATATGAAAATGATTATGAAAAAAAGTTTACTCTGTTTTTTTTTTTAATCAAATTAAAATATTGATTATTGATAGCATACAAGATAATATTCAGATTTCTTATTGAATTAGCAAAATTTGTTCGATTGTCGACATTTATTTTGATAGAAATTTGATGTTCTTAAATTATTCTTTACGATTAATGTGTTATTATATATTATATTCATTTATTTGAATTTTATCAAAAATACTTGTTTTTTTTTAAATTCAATTTAAAGGAGAATAATCATCGTATTGAATACAAACATATATATATATATATATGATTCGTTTTAATAAGTCATATTTAGATTTATATGAAATTAATCTTGACATAGTAAAAATTATATTCAAAAAAAAAAAAAAAAATCTTTATTTTTTAGGAAATTTGTAATTTATTAATTAATTAATTTTTTTTTTTGTTGGACTATTTTTTAACATTTATTAATGTTCAAACAATATATGCACAATTTATGGGTGTCATTACTGTCTGAGAAATAACGGTGACGATGTCGTTTTTTTTCCTCCTCCTCCCGCTTCTTCTTCTTCTTCTTCTTCTTATGCCTATTAATACTGCTACTACTATTACTACTACAGCCAGTGGTGCTGCCACTGCTGTCGTTCTTTTCCACCACTTCTTTATACTTCTACAGTGGATTGTCGTTGTCATTTGAATCGTTGTAGCGTGCAGTAACGGCAGCAGCGGGAGAAATAAGAAGGAAATCGAATCGGCTGTTGCTTGCCCTGTACTCTCGTCTACAGACAATGAACGTTAGTGGTAGGCATACATATATATATGCCATTCGTAAGGCAACGAGGGTAACAAGAATTTTTTTTTCTCTTTTTCTTCTATAATAAATAAGCGTAAGCAGTAGCATGCATCAGAAAGGAAAGAAAATATATGGCTACTATATGCATGTATGTGCGTGTGTGCTTTGTCTGTCTATGTGTTTGTGCTTGCTCTCACACACATACTACATTGCACAGCCGACGACGGCACACACATATACAGCGTTAAGCGCAAAAGGAAAGAAAAGGCAGACACTCGCTATTGCTCTTTCACATAAGCTCTTCTCTCTCCTTTCATATTCACCATCACCACTACACTCTACACACATACACACACACACATATAGCTATTGCTGACTGACTGACGTGCATACACACTGTGCAAAAGACAAGCGAGCAAGCAAAGCAGCATATATACAGTCTACTCGATTAATACGACATCTACTTTTTAAAGTATGTATATATATATATAAAAAAAAATAAAAATAAGAAAAATGTTTTCAAGATAAGAATAATTTATTTTTAAAATACGAATTAATTAATATATTTTGAAAAATTTATAGATAGAAAAAAAAAAACTTTTAAAAACCAATCTAATAAATATATATATAGTTAAGCGCGAATTTAAATCAACATATATTTAGATAATGCCTCGTGTAAGTAAATCACAAAAAGATCCAAATGCACCAAAACGTCCATTATCAACATTTTTCTTATTTTCACAAGATGAACGGCCTAAAATAAAAAAAGACAGTCCATCATTATCAGTTGCTGATGTTGCTAAACTTATTGGTGAACGATGGCGTTCAATAGGTGAAGATAAAAAACGTCATTATGAAGAAAGAGCTCGACAAGAAAAAGAACGATATGATCGTGAAGTAGCCGAATATAAGAAACAAGGTGGTGGTGGCAAATAAAAAAGCAAAACAACAATTAATATATATATTCATAACAATGATTCCGATGATTTTGTTTTTTTGAAGAAAATAGAAGATCATTTAGTGTGTACATAATCATCATATATTGTAGTTAGTATTACCGAAAAAAAAAAAAAGAAACCAGAATGTTGTTTCGTTTTGTTCGTTTTTTTTTTCTTTTTTGTTGTATTCATCTTTTTCCTCTCTTTTTTTTTTTGCTTCTTCATATGCTTCTTTGTATATGTTGTGTTCACTAACTGAAAACAGGATAAATAAAATTTCAAAAATTGAATATTTTCGTTTGGTATGAACAACAGACATTAATAAATGAGAAGAAGTGATTGAAAAACTTTGAATAAGTTTTTATATGATAATGGATAAATATTATAAGGTTCTAGGAATATTTTATGTTCGTTATGATTTATATGCTGATATTTAATTTTAGAATTTATTCAATATTGTTTTCAAATCGAGTTATGTGAATTGTACTATTCAGAAATCATATGTTGTAACTATAGTTCAATAATTCGTTTTGTATTGATAAGATATTAGATATGAATACGTCTTTTTTTGTGCTGTTTGAACTTCTATAAGACTTCGTATTAGAAAATAAAAGAAAAAAATTCTATAGAACAATAGTTCCATAAATCGAAATTTGATATATTTCTATTTTTATTCTGATTGTTCTTATATAATTATCCTTTTATCAAACTTCTAAATCCTTTGTTTAATAAAGATTATATCCTGCAGATGTCATTCATATATGATTGATTTGATTAAATCAATTATAAATCATTATAATTAACATTCTTTCAAATAATTAAACAAATAAATATAATAATATTTAAAGAATAAAAAATTTCTATTAATAATCCAATATAAATGAAGGTTTAAACATCGCAACAAAATGGCAGTATCGTCAAGCGAATGACTTTTCTTTTCTTTCCCGATTGATGAATAAATGAGACGAAAAAAGAGAAAGAAAGGTCACATTAATAAAAATGATCATGCTCTAATATTTATGCATAAAACCTTTTGTTTTTGCTTTTATTTTTATATCTAGATAAATTAATAACGAAAAAACAACAATAACAATGTCTAATGAAGACGATGAATGTGACTCGTCGAGTCTATTTAATGTTGCAAGTCAAACAGATGTAAATTCATTTTTACATTCTCAAGCAGCAAAAATAACAGGTATAACAACAAGTATAAGTGATGATGAAAATAGTTCTATGGATGGAAGTTTATTAACACGTTTTTCACAAGTATCATCCGAAAAAAAATATATTATAACAACAAATACAAATATACGTTCAACACCAATAAAACCATATTTAAGTCGTTCATGTTTTGCATCATTAACAAGTTCATCACCAATTAAAAATTCAATACAAAAAGTTTATGCATCAGATGATTTAACAGAATTAAAATGGTTAAATACATTTAAATTAAAAGAATTTAAAGATGATTTTAATTCGAATAATAATAAAGATAAAGATAATCAATATGATAAAACTCAAGTAATATCAGAACAACAACAACAAGAACAAAATAATAATAATAATAATAATGATGAAGATCGTTTAGCTAAATTAATAAGTGAATTAAAATCATATGATAATGAAAGTACAAAAATTACTACAACATCATTTGGTATAATTATATTTCTTGGATTTTATTCTAAACGTGATGAAAAACATTTATCATGGTCATTAACAATAAAACAATTATATGAATATGTTCAAAATAATGCTAAACATATAACAAATAAACGTGGATGGAAAAATTTATTACGACAATCATTAATTACAATACCATGTTTTGTTAAAACAAAACGTGATTTACTTAAATCTCGTTCATTATGGACAATTGATCCATATTATCGTCCTTTATTAACAAAAGCTTATTTAACAAATCCACCATCACAATCATCAATTACATTGAATAAGTGAGAGAGAATAAAATTTTTTATTTTTTTAAATTTAAAAAAAACAAAAATTTATTTCATTAGAACATTATCCGAAGCACCAACAAATCGACATGATGATCAATTGTAAATTTTACATTTTATTTATTTGACTTTTATAATCTTTAGTTTTCATTAAGAGATACAAATCGTTCATCACAATCGATTGTAAGTAATTTTGCACCAAAAGCAACAGTGAAAACAAAAGGTAATCTAAGAATTTTATATTCATTATTATTCTTTTCTTTTTTTTATATAATCAGTACTTCCGCGTCTTTATGAACGTCTTTGTGAAGAAAAAGCAAATGATAATAACGAGGATGATCATGATGGAGATGAAGCTGATTCAAGTAATATTGCTCAACATCATCGAAATCTAACATCAGGTAAAATTTCGACAGTATAAAATAAGTTTCATTCAAAGAATACAATGTGTAAATGTATCAGAAATGTAATTCGATGAATTTTTAATTCATAAATATAGATATCAATTATTTGAAATATTCGAAAATGCTGAAATTTAATTTTCATGTGAAACAAGTGTAAATTATGTCGTTACATAACAGATGAATTTCTCATAAGGAAATTGTCCCAAGTGATTCAGAGCTTTTCCACTAAGATTTTTCTCGTATGCCGGCAGAGATATAGAAGCTGTCATCGAAACAAAAAATTTCCCTAAACAGAGATAAATTCTAGAGAACAATTTCTCTTGCTATCATTATAATGGAAAAAGTTAGATTCTCTTTGCATTCACGCATTCGAAGAACAGGAAAGAAAATGTGATTTATTTAACACATAAATGTCGTTATAAAAAAATTAATCTTTATGAATCAGCAATTAACAGAAGTTGATGCTCTTTCGGCTATAAGGAAAATATTTATTGGAATTTCCAAATAAAATATCTTTTTTACAGCAAATAATTTTCTTCAACACGTGTTATCGTACGTGTGCAAGTAGTATCCAATAAGACGAGAAAAAGAAAAAAAGCTCCTAGGTTCTTCTTCTCCGAGTTATGAGTATTTTATTCAGTCGATTACTTATAACAAGAGATCTATCGATAAGTACAGAATTTCGAATTGAAAATTTTCCTACATCATAGAAATCTTATGATGGTTATAGTGACCTCAATATCTTGATCACAATGAATGCTTTTTTCTTGGAACATTGAGCTTTCAAGAATTATCATTTATCACAGTCAATGTCATGAAAATTGACTTTTCTAGAAAATTCACTCTTTCGAAAAAGAACCATGACAGTGAGGTCGCTAGAAAGGTTATGAGATCTATATATGAAGAAAATTTTAGATTAAAATTTTGTATTTTAAGTTTTCGATAAATCTATCTTAATAAGCCTCGTACAATGCTCATAACTCGGGAAGAAACATGTGCAGGCTCTTGTCCTATTAGACTTTTTCTAGTCTCTTATATATTTCAGTAGTATGAAAGGACACTTTAAATTGGATTTTTAAAATTCTGTACAATGTTGTATATGTCTATTCATTCTATTAGAGTTTGTTATCTAGACACTTTAACTGTAGAATGAGTGCTTTTTTTTTTCTCTATCTCTCATTTGTTTCAAACCAATAAATAAAACATACATATCACTAATGAAGTATTTTCTAAGTTTCATTGATGAAATCAACATATTGCAAAAAGCATATTGAGATAGTAAACATTACTAGTAAGTTTACGTTTGAGTAGCAATAGCATCAAAACAGACGTTCGTCTATTAATGATCATTCAAGGATAAAATATTTCGATTATGAAATTTGAAAAAAACATTATTAGTGATATGTATTTATTCATTTTATTAGTTACAAACAAAGGAAAGATAGAGATGAAAAAAGAACACTAATTTTACAATTCAAGCATCTAGAAGAAAATTTTATAAATCTTAAATAGATCCATTTCATCGTGAGTTAAATAACAAATATTAATACATTTTTCAAATTCAAATTTTTGTTTTTTTGCATAAAGAAAAACTCAAAAATTTCACTACTTCACAGTATCTTGATAATTTCGAAACATTTTTTATTTCGATCCTAGTTCATAACATAAAATTGATCGTAGAAATTTTTTAGTAACAATTTAATATAATTTATAAATGATGAACAAAATCAAATAAATGGTAATAATGTGTGGCACCAGATGTTTGTTTTTTGTTTTTTTTTCTTTATATATTTTTTCAAGTGTGTCTTAAACATATTTTATTATTCTAACACTAATATAGAGAATTATTTTTTGTGAATGTTATATATTTCGAATGTGATTAGTGTGTATTTATTTATTGAGTAGGTCGTAAACGTCCTCATTCTTCTTCATCACAAGGTCATCGGCAATCTATTAAAAGTAAGAAAATAAAATATTTTTGATTTCAAATAAAATTTTTTTTTTTTTATTAGATAATGATGGAAAACGTCGTTCATCAACATCGCCATGGGCAGCTAAATTACTCAAACGACATAAACGACGACATTATCGTCAATCAGGTGTTGAACCAAAAACATCTACACCAAATAGAGGGTAAAAATATTTTTCTATACAATTTTAATTTCAGTTATTTTTTCGAAACTATTCTCTATACTGAAAGAATCGACTCTAATAACAGAAATTCAATTATATCTTCCCCTTAAGTTAGCTACGATATGGTACGAATATATCTGTAGGATTACAAAAAAGTGCATCCAATCATAAAGATTCAAATTAATCGTGAGGTAATACCTGGTGGACGAATAATTTGAAAATCCATGTACACTCGATATGTTACTCTTTACGATCATGTTTTGATTTACGGAGTATAGCTTAGTATTAGGATTGTATTTCTTCGTATATAGGATGACATACGATTTGTTTACAGGGAAGTATTAAGCAAAATGAAAGCCGTATACTGTTTTCGTTAAACAACTCAATAAAAGATCATATTTCTCTGTGCGTCGTAATACGAAGAAATACGATCGTCATACTCAGTCATGTAACGTCAATACACAAGGATTTATAGTTGCTTACGAGGATGTTTTTTCGATTCGGAATTCTTTTAGAATTGATGATTATTAATATAAAACTATTGGATGATTCGATCGATTGTTGCACGGTCTATACATAAAGATATGATATAATCATTATTAAAAGTTAGAGAGTGCGTTTGAACATGAGATTATGATAAACGAAAATTACATTATTTGAATAATGTACTTTTTTTTTTTTATTGCAATAGAAATAACTAAGTGTATTCGTTTCTATGTTGTCTTTATAAAATCAATGTACAAGTTTTATTCGAAACATAAAGAGAACACAGAATAATATAAATGATACAAAAACCTACTATTTCTGACTAAATATCATAGATAAAATATTCGAATTCAACACAATAAAAAGAATTTTCATTGACTATACTCAATTATTTTTTTAAAAATTGAAATAAAAAACCCAGTATGAAAGAGCACAAGCGAATATAGTGACAAGCAATTCACCAATCAAAAAATATGACCAAATTTCTGTAGAAAAACCAATAACATTGTACATATAAATTGAACTTCATTAGACATGTATAGTACATATTCAAAATCGCCTTTTTTTTTTTTCGTTGTAAATATTAAAATTAAGCTTTACGAAAAAATTCGTTTTGTAAAATAGATCGCTGTTTTATGTCAAGCAGAAGAGTCTTTTCTCTTTTTTTCTCAGCGAAACAGTGACTTTCTTCGTTTCTTTCCTTTTTTTTGTGTACCAATCTCCGTAATAAGGGTCGACCCCCTTGTCATGCCGTGAGCCCTACCATTTCAGTAGTCGTTCTTCCCCATTCTTAATGACCTTGAGACACTCTTGAAGTCAAGTCGCCACTTGTATTTATCTCGTATTTTACTTTATGCACGTTGATATCTATATGCATATCTTATTATCTTGTACATCTCAGGTCCAGCGAATTGAGTCTCAATAAACATCACTGTCTGTGCCTAAAAAAAAATTCTTATCAAAGAATTTTAGCAGAAAAAAAGAAAGACTTTTTTTTTTTTATCTATCCAATATAGATCTAATAATGAAAATCGTTCATCATCAACATCAACTGTTGTTACACCTTGTCCAAGTATGGATCATACTTATTTACTTCAGCCTGAAAAAATAAAACATTCACCAAAAAAACAATCAACAATAAAACGAACAAAGTCTACAGGATCAATTGAATATAGTATATTATTTAACAATTATTATTTGAATTCATTTTTTTGTTTGTTTGTTTGCTTTCGTTTTTTTTTTAATAAACTAGATGATCCATCAAGTGGGGATATTGAAGAAGATGATGAACGTGACAGTAGTTCATCAATACGTCCAATACGTAAATCAATAATAACAACACGTGCTCAAGCAGCAGCACGTAATAATCATTCAAAAAATCGTCGAAAAAGTTCTCCACCAAAAAAACGTTTATCACTACAATTACCATCACATCGACCAAATACACGTATAAATCGACGAATAATTGAACAAGATTTAAAATTATTACGACAAGCTAATGTTTTACCACCATTATCACCGCCAACAAATCAACAACCACTTGATTTATCTCTTGGTCCTAATCGATCATCGTCATATGAAGAAATGACTGAACAAACAACAACAACAAATATTGAAACAATAAAAGAAATCATAGAAATAAAAACAACACTAATTGAAGGCGTACTTGATTTATCTCTTTCCCGATGATGATATGAATATTTATTTGTTAAGTATGTATTTAGTTTTTGTACGTGTGCAATATTAAACGTACCAGATAAAACTTATTTATTTCACTCATTTACTCAGGCTTATTTTGCCTTTAACAACTATACTCTACATCTATCTATTCTGAAGTGTTTTTCTTCTTTTTTTTTTTTTGTTCGTTGTCCTTATTTGTGCATTGTTTTCTTTTTGCTGTTGTTTATTATTTCTCACTGTATTTGTGCTTCCATTCTACGAAATTATCGGTTTTTTTTTTCTTGTTTATAAAAATTATTCTTTAGATATAAAGAAAGAAAAAGTCATGAAAATACCTTGAAGTACGTTTTCATTTACATTTTATGTACTATTATTAAAAGACAGTATTTCGCTATATAAAACCCCTTTTTCTTTTTTTTTTTGTTAGAGATGAATATTTCGTATCCATCATTCTTAGTAATCAAAAACATTCAATGATGTAAAGATGATTGTTTCGAACGAAGGAAGTATTAAGTGAAATGTACGTTGATGTTGTTTTTACTTTTTTTTTCGTTCTCAAGTATTACTCAGTAGAAAAAAATATTTAGTTTCAGTACACAAATAAGTAAAAAAAGACATGACTTCATCGTGAATACGAACATTTTGAATAAAATATTGATATTTCAATTTTATAGAAGGAAGTGTAGATTTGAAACGTTTAGTAAATAGATCCTCATAAATTTTATACAAAAGAAACATATACGTTGATAAATAATTTTCTTGTTCTGCACTTCCCCTTTTTTCGTTCTTATCAACACTTAAAGGCCTTCAAAAAAAAAGCAACGTGACTTGAATATCTTTTTCTAATCCTATGTTTATGAGAATATAAAGACCGCTAGGAAATAATGGAATAGAATTAAACTTGTTTTTTATATTGGAATCCGCAAAAAGTGAATATTTGAAAAATATGGAAAAAAACTTGGAAGAATAAAATTCCGTGCTCTCAATAACATTAAAGGGAAAAAAACATTATTTTGGTACAGAAAAGTAGGAAGAATAGAAGTTTTTTTTTTTCATATTTATTTTCGTTTTTCTCCTCTGTCAGATTTATAGCTACATAAAAGCCTCTTGTTGTTGCCGTTGCCGCCATATGCAAAAAATTAAAACGTAAATGTCGAAACGTATAAAACAAGAAGATGAAAATTCAAGTACAGGTAAGATCATTATTCAATTGTTTTTTTTCGAGCTAATGAAGACCTAGATAACGATGATTATTAGTTAGAGTAATTCGATTGAGCCTATTTTCATGTTTTAGTATTAAAAATACTAATTTAATTTTTTTTTAAATAATTATTCGTAGATTGTCAAGTATCGGTTGATACGAAAATTCTATCGTCAGATATAAGTAATTTTATTCAAGCAACTCCAACACTAACTTCATATCCTTATCATACAAGTGTATGTGGATCATTACTTTATACACCACCAACTAATATGCCCTCAGATATTTTCTCATTTCTTCGTCATGGTAATTTCACTGCATTTCGAACTTCACTTGATAAATATCATAGTGATATTATTCAAATGAAGAATGATCATGGACAGGTAAATATTGTTCTTGTTTTATAATAATAAGACAAAAATAAAACCAAACGGAAAAAATTGTTATTTTAATTTATTATTTTAGACAGTACTTCATGTATTAGTCATTCATGCATATCCATATGTATGGATACGCTTATTAATGATGCGTGGATGTGACACATGTGCTCAAGATGTCGATGGATATACAGCTGCTCATTATGCTGTTGAACGTGATGATGTTGAAATGTTGAAAGCATTAACACTTCGTTTTCATTCTCAAGTTAAACCAATACCTGAGGAACGTATAACAGCAATACATCAACAATGTATAAATGCCTTATCATTAAAAGACAAAAAAGGTTTAACTGTATTCATGTTAGCTTGTTGTCGTGAATCATTAAAATGTTTAAATTATTTAATAGAACTTAATATAAATGATAGTAATTTAGAAGTAAATTATTCTTTTTTTCATATTAATTTATTAAAAATTTTTTTTCTTTGTAGGATAAATGTGGTGATACTTGTTTACATTATGCAATTGCACGTCGTAATGAAATTCTTGTAGAAAAATTAATTAATACATGTAAAGCTAATGTTAACGGTGGTAATCAAACGAGACCAAGTATACTTGATGTATTACAGTTTAATCGTGAGCAACAACAAATATTTGATCGTACAAAAGATGATAATATTGAACAATTAATTTTATCACAAGGTGCAAAACATCGTTGTGCTATTCGACGCATTACTAAAAAAAGAAAAGGATCCATTGATAATGATGAAGCAATTATATCAAGTTTAGCTTGTATTTCACTTGATTTAACAACAAATGGACAAATTGAAACAGCTCGTATTCATGCACGAAAGGCTGCAACATTACAAGCTACAGGTGATATTTCCGGTGCTCAAGAAAGTTATAAACAAGCAATGAACTGTGCACCAGATAATACAATTGATTGGGCAACATATGCATTTCATGTTGCTATTATACATGTTGTTCATGGTGAAAAACAATTAGCTCTTGAATTATTACAGAAAGCACTTCATATTAGAAAACAAGTAGAAAAATACAGTCAAGAAATTGATCAAATTCAACGAGCTATTGATAATATCCAACAACAGACAACTTGAGCCATTTTTATTAAATAATATACACATAAATATAGTTAAACCTCATGTGTCCACTTGTAATTCAAAGAGATTTTCAATGAATCATGTTTGTTTATTAGAAACATAGGATTTCGATGCAATGTCGATTTAATCTCACAAGAATCAATGGATATTATGCAAATAGAAAAAAAATTATTTTCGACATTGAACTCATATTGATCACAAGTGGATGTATCAGGTTTAAAAACTGATAAATAAAGACCTTCTTTATTCTAACTATTCAGTTTCTCACATATAGTTCTGAACAAAAAAATGTCGACATGTGTTTAAAAAGCTTTTTCTTTGTAAAACAATCCCATAACCCTTTTTTTTTTTTGCTGTTTGTGTTAAACAAGAAAATAAGTAATCATCGATGAGTCAATTGTTGATAGAATGATTAAGTTTTTGCTTAGAAAAACAAATGATCTTTTAAATTTATTCTTAGAAAATGAATCTAGAATTGTTGTCAAACTTCTATCAACAAATATTGATAGAATTCAAAAACAATAGAAAATTTGAAATTCAATGAAACCATATATTATTTAGATAAAAAACATTCAGCGAAAATATTCATAAGTTACATATGGTGATTTATTTCATGATAAGTTTTAACAAAATAAAAAGTTTTCAAATAAACATGATGATCAAAATAGAAGTAAAAAAAAAAAAAAAAGCAATAATCGAAATCAAAACTACATCTACATTATTTGTTTTCTCTATAAACAACGTACTTAGATAGTCATCAAAACAATATTATCAACAATCATTTTTGTAAATTATTTCTATTCCCATATACGTCAGTGACTACAGGGCATTGGTTGTAGATTTTAGTTCGATAATGTTTTTCTTTTTTCTAACAAGACAATATCTATTTTTAGAGCACATTATTTTTATCATAACAATACCTACAAGGTGCTTTTTATCTGTTTTTTGAAATTTAGGCTTTCTTTCCATTGGATAATTTTTTCTTGATCAACAAAAAATGTTAATCAAAAAATAAATTTTACCCTTTCGTAACTGTTGTTATAATGACTAGTATAAGCTAAGTAGGTACATATTCTTATAAGAAATAAAAAATGTCAGAGTCTCAATAAGGAAGTACTTAAAAAAATAGTTCCTTGCAACTACGGATATACATCGACTTGACATTTATCGACCTGACATTTTTCATGCACTGTAGTGTGTGAATAATTCACTTCAGAGAAAAAAAAAATCATGATTCTTGTTTAACACATAAACAACGAATATTTATAGCTTTAATAAATCGTGAAATCAAATATTTACATGAATAGTTGACATAATGACATAGACTTTGAGCAAGATAGAATCAGAAGAGACTAGCTTTATATTATTTTTGACAGTATGTCTGCAAAAATTTTTTAATTGTTACCTAACAATTATCTGCGAAGTTTTAGAAGAGATCTTTTTCTAAAGGAATTTCTTCTAAATAGATTGTCTTTGACTGCCTAACAAATTTTATAACACTTTCTACTTCTCAATATAATCAACAGTCATGTGCATACAACACTTGCAATATACCAACGTCATTACATTTATAAAGAATAAGTAATAATAACGTAAGAGACGAAAATAATAGATTAAGAAATATATTGTAGAGAAAGAAATAGATAAAAACAGTCAACAAACTATCTATATTCCCTAGACTGAAAGGATAGGATCTAGAAACGAGAATTCACCTATGCTTGTCGTTCTCTAACATAGTTACACTATGGTAAGTATGGTAGAAAGGATTACATAGAATGATAGAAAAGAGCAACAATACTTTAGAATTCAAATGAATTGAAGAGTAATTATCTCATGATGGAGAACTCGAAAATTGGTATACATTCAGTATTTCGTCATATACGATTGTACCTTGATTTATTACATGAGTAAGTATTACGAATGTTTACTGCGTCATGAAATATGTCAATATACGATAATTTATGGTCATTTACGAGCATGCTTGTTCGATCTAAAATTCTTTAAGAAATGATGATCATTCTTATTGAACTATTAAATGGTTCGATTGATTGTTCAATGGTGTATATATGAAGATGAGATATAAACATAGTCAATAGTTAGAGAGTGGCCTTACTACAAGATTATGATTAACAAAAATTGTATCGTTTGAATAATGTGATGCTGTTCTTTTTGCAATATAAATAATGCTAATGTGACTAATTGTATTGATTTCTATGTTATCATTATAAATCAATATACAGTAGGTACCAAAATTATTCAATAAGATTCATTGCCAATTCTTTGTCCGCTGCAGTAAGCGCTAGAAAGAATCGGATAGTGATTTGAATAGAGAAAATTGTTTTTTAAAAGCATATAAAGATATAAAAACTATTATCACATTCTCAAAAACAGAGACTCCAGAAAACCAAAAGAGAAGTTTTTCAGCACTTAGACGCGTGTAACTATACATTTGTTTAGACTAAATAGAACGGTAGAGCGAACAATTCTCTAAAAGTAATGAGATATCTTCGAGTTCTCTGCAATGTTTTTTTTGCTGAGATACAGCAACCTTACAGAAGACCTTAAAATTGTTTCTTTCGAATTTCTTGTACAAAAACTATTTTTTGATCTTCAAATGGATTTCTGTATTGCAGCGAAAAAACTTTTCACAGAGAATTCACCGAGGTCTTATTTTGTAGAAGATGGCTTACTTTATCATTCTATTTAATCGAAAATAGATTATATTTGTACGTATTCTAGATGTTGCAAAAAGTAGCGCTTTGGTTTACTGGAGTTCCTATCCTTGAGAATTTGATAATAAGTTTTATTTTCTTATATTCTTGTTGAAAACTATTTTTTCTACTCGAGCCACTGTTCAAAAAAAAATTTTTCTAATGCTTATGCCACCGGAAAAAATTGAAAATAAGCCTTGTTGAACACTTCTAGTATTCACTATATATATATAACATAAGTTTTATACCAAACATAAGCAAGACATAGATTAATATGAATGATAAGAAACCGAATCATTCTCAATTTCAAGTTTTCTTTTTTTATTTAAAATCTCTAAAATTAATATAATACTATTTGTGATCGAATATTAAAGATAAAATTTCAGAATTCGATATATAAAAAAAATTTTTTATTCACTATATATTTGAATTTGAAAATAAAGTTTCAAGGACAATATGCAATAATAAAAAGCGAATATAGTTACAAACAATGCAATAATCAACAAATTCGAAAAAAAAATTCTGTAGAAAAACCAATAACATGGTACATATAAATTAAACCTCATTAGTCAAGTATGGCATATTCAAAATTTGTTATTTAATTATAAACATAAAAGCTAAGTGTCATATAACGAAAACATAAGTTTTCTGAAATCGATCGCTGTTATATGTCAAGTTATCTCGTCTATTTATCTATTACTTTACTTAATTGACATTTATGCTGATATGCATATCTCTATCCCATCAATATGGAGTCAAGTCAATCGAATCTCGATGTTTGTTGCTTTTTGTTTCGAGAAGATCTTAAATAAATAAATAATAATCCATTTTCGATTTTTACCATAATAATACATAACTAAAAATAAAATAAAATATTACACGATAAAAATACTCCAATTTTCTTGCAAAAGATTGAATGAAATACGAAATGAAAATTATTCTTTGAGAGAATGAATTAATAAATTCATAACAATTGTTTGTCATTCTATATTAATTAATCAGAAATATAATTTATTTTTCAATAATAATTTTTATTGCGAATTTGAAAACATAAAAAAACTTCATCTTTAGAATTATTGTTCCGAAAATAAAAAAACATAGCTAAATAGAATCATCAACTAAACTAGTTAATCGACGAAAATAAAACAAGACTGACGAAACACACGAGAGAAAAATAAGTGCATGAAATTTTGCTTGATCATTTACAGCTGATAAATACTCTCATCATTTATTATTACTTTGTTGTTTTCCATCATCATGATATAAATTAAAGGTAAAATAAAGCCTACACAAGTACAAACTACAATGTGGATCAAGCTCATTGTTGTGTTATCAATATTTGGACGAACTATTTTTGCTATTGACTATCCAAAAGGTATGTATTTTGGTGTTTAAGACAATAGCTTGTACAAATAGTTATGCATTAGTAATTACTCGTCATATGTTATATCGAGATAATCTGTGAGCAATAACAAAGAGATTACCATTTAAAATATTCTCTATGATTATATGAATAACAACCACAAACATCAATTGCATTGAGTAGACCGGTATTGTTCAGCCAGAAATTGTCCAGAGTGTTCACCGTAAGGAACAACCTATCGAGATGTAAAAACTATTTTCATGTATATACTCTCTTCATTGTATTTTTTGACCTGAAAGAAGAATCGAAGCTCATAGATCTCGTCCATTTTCTATGGTTTTGTATCGTGAAAAAGAACAAACATTCTTTATTGAATTATACAGTACAGATCTACAAGTTGTTGTCTATTCATATTTATATTTCTTGGTGTGTGTGAACACTTCTAAAATATCATCTTTTTTTTTTTAATCATCTTGTCGAACGATCGTACATGAAAAGTTATTATGTGTAACTGCGTGATAAAATATACTTCGAAGTTTGAAGAGATAATATCTCTTGTTTTTTTTTTTATCGTGAATTGAATTGAATTCTGAATAATTTTCAAAACAATAGTTTCTGACTGAAAGTTGAACTCTTCATGTTATAATAACTATATATTCAGGAGTATAAGAAAATATAGATCTTCAAATAATGATAAGAAGATGATATACTTAATCAGTTCATTCAAAATGAATGTACAAATATTCATCAAGAAACTTTCCTAATAAGCAGCTGCTTGTTTCTCATCCTTTTATTTCTACTCCAATTTAATATTATCTATTTAGACACCTGTGGTCTTCGTCCATTACTAAATGCGGTTCACTCACCATCTAAGATTGTTGGCGGTGCAGAATCAATAAAGGGTGATTGGTAAGAAATTAAAATTTTAAGCTTTTTTTTTTGAAATATTCATTTCTATCTTGTGTTTTTTTAAGGCCATGGGTTGTAAGTTTAATCAAAGAGTAAATAATACTTTATGTATTTTCTATTCGAACTATAGATATCTATGCGACGTAATGGAAATCATATTTGTGGTGGATCAATTATAAATGATCAATGGATTATCACAGCTGCTCATTGTGTTGTTGGGTAAAGTAAAAGAAATTTTTTTTTCTTTTTTTTAATAAATTTACATTCTATTAATTTTATGCAGAAATCAAAATCCAGCTTCCTATGTTATTTATATCGGTCTTCATGATCGATTAATTGCAGATGAATGGGTTATTACGAGAAAAGTTGAAAATATTACAATTCATTCAAAATATTCGAGTCAAAATTTTGCGAATGATATTGCTCTTATGAAATTATCTGTAAGTATATTTTTTTTTTGTTGTGTTAACCTATTCTGTCCTTGCGAGATTTCTGGAGAACAGTTCATTGAAAAATTTTTGGAACTTTTAAGAGATAGACAGATCTTGATGAATAGAACAAAAGTTGTCATAGACTAAAAGTTCCTGAATCATGTCTTCTATGAGATATTAGGATTAAAATGATCCCACTTTTCGATCTTCTTCTTTTTTCGAGATACTAAGTTCGATTGAGTTCAAACTTTTTTTTTAGATACTGTATACTGTTTGAGAGGATAATTTTTTTTTGTTTTCGTTTGCTTATATGTTGTCTTTTGAATAAAAAAAAAAAAGTCAAAATACCTGTCATATGAAGTACAAAAAACACTATCCACACCATATATCGTTTAGAATATCGGGAAAAGCATAACAACAAAATTGAGTTTCGATTTTCTGACAAATATTTGATGACACTGTTTTCATATTCGAAGAATACTTGTTTTTTTTCTTTTATCTGCAAGATGTTTGTAGTCAAAGAAAGCCAACATATCGATAGGAAATCATCTGTTTTTCTCACTTCTAGCACTAATTTTGAATTAATTAATCATATTTCGAACTAACAAGGGAACTCTTCTGATTGATAGCCTTCATTTGAGTTCATATTTTACTGATAGTGTAGATAAAAATTCTGAAAGAGTTCGTACTATTAGACCTTACTTCTCAAGTTATGACTATTTTACTGATCTTTCAAGACATTACAATATATTACGAGAAGAATCGGAACGAATAACTTCGACCAGAACGTAGATTATCAATCGGACAGATTTTCTGTTAAGTCTAAAGATTTCTTACATATCCTAATATGTAACTCTAATCTGATTATAAGCTAGAAATATGATAACAATAAGCAGGTTAAACCCATAGATGAAATATTTTGAAATAAAAAGTAAAAGTTCGAGTTTTTTGTTTAGATTATTAGGTCTTGAAAATCGTTCTTGTTGAGATCATTTTCATTTTTGTCATAGAACGAAGAGTTTATTCTTAAATTAAAATTATATTTATTTTCTAGGAAAAAATTGATCCATATACTGAATATTATATGCCTGTTTGTTTTCCAAATGTCGATCAAACATTTGAGAATCAGATAGGATATACAGTTGGTTGGGGAGCACCATTTTATGGTAACAAAAAATGATAACAGTTGATCTAAAAAGTTATTAATTGCTTTTTTTTTTTTGAAATTCTAGGTGGTAGTTTGCTACGTCATTTATATGAAGTAGCTTCATTAGTATTAACTGATAATGCATGTAAAGCACGTTATTCATCAGGTATGATCAATACATCTACTCAAGTATGTTCAGGTGGAAACAGTACAGGAGCTTGTCAAGTAAAAGAAATTCTTTATTTTTTCTTTTAATTTAATTTAATTTTTTTTTTGTTTTTACTTCTAGGGTGATTCCGGTGGTCCATTTATTGTTGCTGATCCTGCACGTGGTGGTCGGTATGTTCTTGTTGGTTTAACATCATGGGGTATTGGATGTGGTGATGGTGGTGTTTATACACGTGTTTCAGCTTATAAATCATGGGTCGAATCAATAACTGGTTCTACTTTGTTTTAAATTTTAAAGAAGTTTATTATATATATACATCAACATCTCAATAAAAAGAAAATAATTGAATGAATTTGACCTATCAACTCATTAAACCCATATGCTCAATATCCAATTGAGCTGTACGATCACCGGCAGCAATCAATCTTTGTTGTTCATTTTGATCATTAGCAGGACGTCGTTGAACAAAATTTGGTTTTGTAGATTGAGTTGAAATCGGACTTGATGGTTCTGTACGATAATTAACTAATCCACGAGCACGACCTAATAATAATAACAATAATAATAATAATAATAGTAATTGACATCTAAATAAATAAATAAAAACCGATCTTACGCATAATCACACAACCAAAAATTATTGATATCCAAGTAGCAAATAATAAAATACCAATCAAAAAAGAGACTAAACAGAAAAGAAAAAGAAAGAGTTGTAGAAGAATTTATTAGTTTCTTTTTTTATATATTACTTTTTGTTGTATCCATACTTGATACAGATGATTGAAGTTGTTCTGTTTCAAATAATGTTCTTGATGGTATTGATCTATTTAATCGAATAAAACATATAATAAAAGCAAAAACAATAAGAAACAAACTCAAATAAATTTGGATAATCATTATTTTGACATGTATGATCAATTTCAATAAAATCTTTTAATTGAATATTTTTATATTTATAATAAATTAAAAATTTACAAGATGATTCTAAACTTGGTGCACATTCAATAATTAAATAATCTCCTGGTCTTAAAAATATATCTCCTGATATTACTTCAATATTAGTTTCATTTTGATCTGATAACATTAATGAATTAAATATAGATTCGACTAGTTTTTGACCAAACATACGAGTACGTATCATATAGATACGCCACCATGCATTATCAGTTTTTGGAAATAATGGTTGTATACCATATAATAAACGTGGGTAATTTGATATACGACATGAAAAACCTTTTAAAACGTCATTATTTTTTTATATAAAAATAGATTTTATACATACGTTTTTGTCGTTTTTGACTCCCAGCAACTATTGTGCCCATGTAGAATTGTGGCCTGAACAACAAAAAAAAATGTGATTTTCTATATTATTGTCACAAGGGCGGTTCTTCATATGATTAATTGCTTTTGAGTCGAGACTATATGTATCATGTAGACTCAAAATAAATACTTAATACTTTGAAAAAAGTTTGTGCCATTAGATTATTCCTGCTGATATGCTGCACTCTTACAAGATTTATTAAATGAATGTCGTGGTGCGAAAAAAAATGATTTTCGGATTTTGACTAGAAATTTGCCATAGAGACAAGCTTTAACGAAAATAGTTTATTGTGAAAGTTTCAAGTCTTTTGATTTACTTCTCTTCTAAAATAAAAATAGCAAATTTGACGATTTATAGGAGAAATGTAAAAAATATACTATTATGATTGTTGTATTCAGTGTATTATACCAAGCGTCAGAGCTTCGGAGCGGCATTTCTCCAAAGATCGAGTCAGCTGCCACAGAGCTTGTAGTTCTTGTGCTATGTACTGTGTGTCTGTGTTCATAACATTAAACATTGGTCCTGCTGAAGTTTTAAATCACTCCTTCGAAAGAGAAAACTTGAATTACAACATTAGTTGTATCTTAGAGTAGAAACAGCAGCAAGACCTGAAACATTTCACAAAACAAAACTATTCTCTTTGAGACCCATCTCATACACATAGTCTTGATTCAAAAACGATCTGTCAATATGAGGACTTCATTCGTTCACGGTATGATCAGAGAATTCTGCATACTTTCAATTCTCGATTATATACATGTATGTCACAATCATCCCTCAATGATGATCATGAATACATCGAAATTAGTTTATTTCTAAATCTTTGCGGTTTAAAATATTAGAAAGACGATTAATGACGATCGCAAGATCAACAATTTAGTCTTGAGATTCATCCCAAAGAAAATACTTTATTCAAATATTTATATTAAAAGTATTAATTTATCTTTATCAATATTTTGAAATAAAGAAAAACGATAAAAATTTTATTTTCTAACAAAATAAAGCAACCAGAAAAGTTTATTTTCGAAAATAATGAACAATGAAAAAAGAGTATAAGATGATAAATTTGTTCATAAAACAGATTTCTCTACAACTGCTTCTGTAGAATTTGTCTTTCTATTGAAAATGTTATTATTCCTGTTACTTTATTGAATCTTATTTTATTACCCTAGGCGAACATCTAGTGGTATGTGCTTGAGACACTTGAGCTTCTCGCACAAGAATGTCATGCGCTACAGACAAATCCTGGGGTCTTGTTTTAAACTCAAGAGCTTGAATTTCTTATTTTATCGCTTAAACTTCTTACTCGCATGCTTAAGTTTTTGTCCATGCACATGCAATATGCTTGGATTTTATATATCTTTTCTGTTCTGACGTTTTAGTCGTTTTTTCGACGTCGATGTCAATAGTCCTCAACTGTTTCAATGCCAAAAGTATATAAGAACCATGAATAAAAATATAGATACCATGATTGGTTTCTAGGAAAGCAACAGTAACGATTATTGACTGGTACGTCCTCACTGTTTCACCGATCAAAACCGATAACCGGTTTTTCACTGGCACTCACTATGGAAGGAAACTTACTTTTAAAAATTCTTAATTTGATTTTTTTTAGTGAGGAAAATATTGATTTTCTATAAAGTTTGACCGCAGATAATCAGAATCAGAAAATCCAAATTCGAAATCAGTTTGTTAAAATTCCATATTGAATTTTTCCATCTTCGAAAAACCTCTTGTAGGAGTGGGCCAAAAAATAAAGTATACAATTTTAAGAAACTAATTTCAAAATCAGATTCGGCGTCTCTGATTACCTTTGGTCAAACGTTGTAGAAGATGAATATTTTCTCGACAAATACTTTACCTTAGTAAAAAAGTGAAATTGAGAAATTATAAGAGTAAATTCCCTTTCATGGTGAATTATGGTGAAAAACTGATTATCGGTATAGATCGGTAACCGTAGTATCGATTATTATCACTATTACATCCCTATTGATTTCATTGCAGAAAATATCACTAAGCAGAGAACACAAAATAAATAATAAAAACCTAATCGTTTGATTTATTAGATGACGTGCAAAAGTTATTTACTCAGAAAACAAGATAAAATGGACAGCTTAATATATTGTGATAATCAAAAACACTCTGGTCAATCTTTCGGAGCGAAAAGTAAATGGTAAAATTTTTCATGTTCCTCTTTACCTTAGATAACTGAAAGGACTCCTAAGCAACATTTGCGCAGTGCATTGAGAAGTAAAAATGTCAATAGAAAAGTGTCTTAAATTTTATATGTAATATATATTTGTGATAAAGGCTCACAATTTAAATAATTACACGCTTTAATATGCATGACTAAAGAGAAGTCGACGGGAGTTTTTCACCTCAGACAGCCTATATGGTGAAGAATATTCTTTCTTCTTGAATAGATTTACTATTATTATTTTAATCTAGTTGGGCGTTTCAAAAATGCTGATGCGTAGGATTTTAATGCGTTCAGCTCATGAATTACTTGACATGTACACATAACTCATGCAAGTATCCAAGCGCGTGTCTATGGAAAGAAAGTCATGCGATATGGACAATTGTTGAGGTCTGCACAGATCAAAAGCGTGAAAAAAAAACAGTTCATCTAGCGTAAGTGCTTCTGGTTCACATCTAATAATGGCTTTTAATAGCTGTCGTACTGATTAATATCACAATAAAAAACTATTTCTAATTTTCAAGTAACAAAATTCGTGTAATTCACAGAATACTACCAAACAAGAAAATTCAACATACATTACAGTTGAAATATTAAGAACAACTCCTGATTGATCATTATTCAATTGTTGTTCTTTAAAATAAGTAACAGTAAGTATAATTAATGCTGATTTATCCAATTGAAAACCATGATCTACTTTTGAAATTAATTCAATTGTACAATATAAAGAACTTATTCTTACTATCATCTATTTGATACGGAGTTAATGATGAATATGATGCCCAGTGATAAACCAACATTGGTTGACCATTTTTACAAATTGTTTCATCATTATACCTTACAAAAAAATTATATCATATTTTTTAGCTTTTTATCTTAAACTATCTATACCAAATAGTATTGTATTGATAAGTATAAGTCCCTCCATGACAAATATGAACAGTTATTTGTTGAATTTCTCCATCCAATGATTGAATCACTGGTTCTATTCCGACTAAAATATAAAATAAAAATACATGTGTACAAAATCTTTATACTTTACAATATTTCATTAAATTAGATTGTTCATTCATCTAGATAAATATTCTATTTAAAGATTACGAAGCTAATCAAAAATATATGCGTATCAATTAATTTCCGTGAAATTTTGCTATTCTAAAAATGAATCAATATTTGTACTGACGTGGCACTTAATTGAAAAAAAAAAGCATATTTATTTTCTTTTCTAACCATTACTCTTCTCAAGTAACTAATTAATTTTGCGAAAAATTGAAATTTTAATTAGTACACTTATATCACACTATGAGTGATTTTCAGTTGAAAATCTAAAAAGATTCGGGTCAACAGTATTTTCCAGCATTTAAGGGGGGCCCCCCCCCTTAGAAAATCCATTTTTTGGTAAAGTAATCGAAGTCGAGTTTTTATCATCGAAAGATGCAGCGAAGTTTCCTCTTTCAGAATATATATAAATTTTTNTTTTTAAATATTTCGTTTATTATTATTATGAAATGAACATGATTCCTCATTGTTAAAACAAATATTTTAATAATTCTTATATTTTATGTTGTCATTGTATTACTTGGATGTGAGAAAATATAATTCTTAAATTGAAAATTTTGTATTCAATTAACTAAGATAATCTTCTATTGATTTATTCAACATAGTTGCATACGACAATTCTGTACATACCTTTAATATGTTAATTCATTCATAAAATTTGTTTGCCTCATGATGAATCTAACATCAGATTAGATACGATAACAGTAAATGAAAGGCTTTCATTTAAAATTCTTTCATAAACTCATTGTGTCAAATATGTGGTAAGTATGCTCTTCGCCGAAAGATACATCGCCGAAATACAGTTTGCCGAAATTCGGCGAACTGTATTTCGGTGAAGTATGATTTCGGTAATGTAGCAATCGTCAATCTATCATTTCGACGATATGACTTTCGACGATGTCACTTTCTGCGATGTAGTCATTGACAATGTTTTTTTTCAACGATGAGATATACAATCGTTAAGTCAAAGTGCCCAGGTTGAGTTAGGAACTAAGTTAAGTTAGGAACTAACTTGAGTTAGGAACTAACTTAACTTAGGAATCAAGTCAGAAACTAAAACAAACTGGGAATCTATCGCAAAACTTGGTTGCAATTCATGATGTTTATGACATAGGTAAATAGCCGCTCTCCGTATGCGATTCATATCGAATGAGTGAACGAAAATAATGATTGCGGAAAGAATTTATAACTGATAAAGATCATCGAAAAAAATTCGGCGATCTTTATTTCGATGATCTTTATATCGATGATCTTTATTTCGATGATATCTATTTCGGCGATCTTTCTTTTCGACAATGTTTGTTTCGGCGTCAATTTCGGCGATCTCACTTTTCGACGATCTCGTTTTCGGCGATGAGCATTACATTCATTATAAGATTATGGACAATTTTATGTGATAATAATATCTTTCAAGACGCTTATAATATAATTTAGTGTAAGATTTCTGAGACTACGTTGATTGTTAATAGATCGTAAAAGTTTAGATATAAATCATGAAAGATCTGATCATTTCATTTTTGGACGTAGGTTCTAGTTTTTAAACAGCAGCTGTTAATATTTATGGAAAGTCTTTTACTATCATAACGTCGGTGACTAGAGTCGTGTGGGACCAAGTCAAATAAAAAAATTGTTATATTTCAAAGAGTTAAATAAATTTTAACAATCTTACCAAGATAAGCTTGACTTGCACCTGGTGCACAAAATGTTCCAACTCTTAAAATAATATTATGATCAGCAGCAATTCGTTGAATTAAACGACAAGAAAGAAATTGTCCATGTATATTATATAAATTAAAATTTAAAATTGGTCCATATGAATAACCATTTTCATATATGAAATTATTTCTTACATCATAAAATAAACAAAGAATTTGTCCATTTGAATAAGTTAATTTTAACATTTCATTTCTACAATAATCAATTAAACATTGTGTATGTAATGATATATGTTTATATGATAATTTATTTATTATTAATTGAAAACCATCATAAATTGAAAGAATTGTTGTAAATGGTATTGTTCCATGAATAAATGCATTAATACCAGATTTATATTCAACACGTGAATCATCATAGGGTGATATATATTCTACACTACCACCACCAAAATAATTTTCTTTATTAAGTATTTTTAATGATTCATTTCGTATAATTAATGCACCTAAACCGGTTGGATAACCAAAAATTTTATAAAATGATAAAACAACAAAATCAACTGGATACAATGATAGTGAAAATGATTTTGTTGATAAATATTTTGCACAATCAACTAATGTTAACCAATGACAGTCTTTCGATGGATATCGATGTATTGGTATAAGAAAATTTTCAATTTGATTTTCTCGTGCATTTATAAATGGCCCTAAAAGTTTATCAAGTGGTGGTCGAAGTCCATTAAAATTATTTTCTGCTGGTGTTGCAAATAGACAATAATATGGAACATTTGATTCTATATCAGATGATAGACATGATGATGAACGACAAGCACAACGAAAAGACCAATCTTTATCTGAATTATTTTCTTGATTATAAATTTTTGAAGGATAATCAATTATTGAAAATGAACCACCTTTTAGTTTAACTTGTTGTCGAATACCGATAAGACTATTATGACTATCAATCATATACGCATATTCAGATTTTAATGAAAACGGAAATAATGATGATAATAATTGACATGCATGAGTTGTATTTAATGTAAATATAATTGAATAATAACGACTTGATGTATCAAATATTGATAAAATTAATTCAATACATTCTTGAATTAATAATAATGATTTTGAATCTTCTTGTTCACTATGTGGATTATTTAATGTTAATGTACGAAGTTGATTAAAATGTGCATCTAATTGTGATTGAGTATACAATGTTGTACCGGCATGATCAAGATATATTCGATCTGAAGGATAATGATTTGAAAATTCATTTTTATATAATTCATCTATTGTTCCATTATATCCATCTGATTAAAATAATAAAGTTCAGATATTCTTGTTTTTGATATAAAAGAAATTCTTGAAAACTTACATTCAGGATGAGCAGCTATAAATTCTTGCTTATCCATGATGTTATTTAATGTGCATATACATTCAAGTGTAATGTTTTATCTATTTCGTCTTTCTCTTTATCATCACATCTTTAATCTTTTTTTTTTTTTTTGTTTCTTTATATTTATTTATGTTATTTAGAAAGACTAAGTGGAGTGAGAATAACACATCATTGTTACCTTTGAATCAACAATATTTTAAAGACTTTATTTGTTCACTAAGATAATATCAAGGACAGAAACAAATAGGTACGCTAGAGTACATATATATATATAAACAAACGGTTTTTTTTTAATTTATTACTTTGAAACTAACTGAGTTACCATGATTATTTGATGAGTGTAAATCTCACCCATTATAAATGTTCGAAACCAGAATGGCTTTTGAGTACATACTTCGGTAAAATTATAGATCTGTGACGCAATTCTGTCTCAATTGTATAAGTATAATTAGAATTATGATGAATCACACGTATTTTTTGCATAGAGAGTTTTAATTTCCAAAGCAATGGCCCATACAAATTTGCATTACTTTTTATCAGATACATCATTAATTCTTGATGTTTTTTGGTGGAACTGCAGGTCAGTCTATAGTCATACTTTACCTATAAAATCAGTTCATTTGCTCGAATGTTGGCATCTATGAATGTTTCTGAATCCTGCACTTCATCAATACCATATTCATAGCTTTACGATTTCCCGTTTGTGTATATTCTCAACCATCAAATTCAATCGTTTCTTCTTCTTCTAGTTCAACTAATCCTCCAATAATACCATCAAGTCAAATATATATATATAATCAGATGTTTTTTTTTGTATGGATTACTGTTTGATAGATTTGATCGAGCTTATTCGTAATATTATGATATATAACAAATAATCAATATACATAATCATTAACTTTTCTTTTACTGTCAAAATCTTTTGGATTAGATATTTCAGATATAAATAAAGGTTATAATTCAATCTGGGTATTACTCTTCAGTTTTTGTACACATATATTGCAAACAAACTGAACGCTAGGCAAATTAATCTTTCGTTAGACGCTCAGAGGAACTTCATTTTTGCCTAGACAAAATTCATTCTCATGGTAACAATATCTTTTCATTCTCACTAAAAAAAAAAACAATTTCTCTAAGGTTTACTATGAGAGAGAGAGCTTGTTCCAATCTAATCAGTTTGTAACAATTCTCTCTACAATGATAATTGCAACACAATAGCAATCGACTTGCCTTCTTCTATGATTGATAATTTCGCACGTGAAAAATTCCAAAAACTTGCTAAAATACATATGGATCCGTTAAATCTGAAGTTTTGAGAAAAATTATAATTGCTCGTTTGGTGAACAACAAAATCATCAATGTTCTACGAAACAGAAAATGCTCTGAAACAATTTCTACTCGTCTTATTTGATGGTGTAGACAAACATTTACACTTTAACTTTTCGATGATCACCAACTATTATGTGATCTCAAAGAAATTGAGCACATTCCATCATGTAAAAACATGTTCGAAGTGTATGAAACAATTCACCAACAGACTACTTATAGTGATCGAAACAAATGCCTTGAATACATTGCAACAAATCGCATCTGTTCGAGTTGCTCATTGTTGAAAAAAATTATCGAATAATGTTCAGTATGTCAAGCTTGCAGAATTTTCCATATTCTTAACAATTGTGACTATAACAAGAGTACAGAAAGCATTCTACTCTTCCATTCTGTCGTACTCTCGATATGCTCTATCAAATAAACTTTAGCCATTGTTCATTTAGCCTATTTCGCAGTGCCTCATTATTGACAATTGCTAGAAATCATTGGCAAACTGTATCTTAGATGTTCATGCAAATGATGAAGATTGATATACAAGTTTACAGTTCGTTTGATTTTCTTACCAAAAGCTTCATAACCGTCTGAAAAACTAGCAAAAGTGTTGATTGTCATCTATGTGAATGTAGCCTGGCACATCTATATAATCTTTCAGCAAATAATACATCTGTTTTTGATTATCAAATTAAATAGATATTTACTTTGTCAAATATCAAGAATTTATTCAATCTCTGAACTAGCAAACTTATGCTATAGTTATCTTTGTGATATCTTTTTGTTTTCATCAGAATATATCTGATTGGATGCAATAGTTATTCATATGATATATATTATGTGTCAAGAAAAAGAAAAGCAATATTAATTAATATTAGGTAGGATATAACAAGTATGATTATGGTTGAAATTATTAAGTTTAAGAAAATTAACAAAATGAATGAGAAACTTGAATAGTCATTTTGTCGTCTATAGCCAATAGCATATATGATAAACTGAATAGAAAAGTAATTAAACTGAAATTTGCATTATTGAAGTTTCAAACAATCGAGACTATTATTAAATGAGTCTACAATTAAAAACCAAATTGTACTGATGACTGCTCAGATTCGAACACAAAAGTCATTGCTTACTTCTCTTTTGTATTTAGGGTAAAGAAATAGAAAAATACAACTATTCATATGGAAATGAAAACTTTCAGTAACAACCGACTGTCGTTAAACAACAAAATATCTCTCATCTGATTTTATCTTTATCTTTTTCTTTCTAACACAGTATAAATAAACCATTTACGTTTGGACGTATACATAATTTCAACAAAATAGATCAAAAGCCTAAAATAAATGTATCATATTCATCTAAATCACACAGTCACAATCGTTGAATTCTACGATGATGATTTGGACGGATACGAAAAATAGCTATTTTTTTTATTATGAACTAACGCGAGAACATCCCTCACTGTCAAATAGCTTTTGAATTGAATGAATGCTCAAACGATCGATCTCAGTGAGTTATTAAATTTCATACAAGAGTTTAATTTTCCAGGCTTTCTGAGCAGAGATACATGATTATTACTATTATTAGTTTTGCTGCACTATTCTTGACTAAACAAGCTCCGATCTAGTTCATATTTATCTGATTACTAAGGCACACAGTACTGGTTAAGATTCCAGAGTTTGAAAATAAATCATTGTTTATTATTGAAGATATGAGTTTGTTTAACATATTGATTGATGATTAAAAAGTAGCATGTGCTCTTGCTCAAAAATCCAAGAATTAATCCATCTGATATTTCCACCACACATTCACTTCATCATGAGCATGTATGTAAAAAAAACGTCAGCTTATTTGTCAGTACTATATTTAATAAGAATTCAAAAAATGAAGTTGCATGCTGTTTCGTCATGCAATCTACTTTCAGCAGCATGTTTTATTAATCAGACCAGACTCAACAAAAACGAAAAAAAAATGCAGCGAATCATTTCATCAGCAGAACTGAAAGTTGTTGAAAAACACATGTTCAATGCATAATATATGGTGGCAATAACGGTACCGAATGAGTGAACATGAGAAACAATTCTGTACATTATATTTGTAGTAGTAATAGAAATTATACATCGTGATTTAATGCATATAATTATATAATCAGTGCGACCATGGGCTCCTCTAGACCTTCTTTCTTTTACTTTACATATCGTCATCTTTCTAACTATATCAGTACACAATTACTTCTCTTTGCCAATTTCGACCATCAATGATCCTATGCAAACAACGCATTCAAACAAACAAAAAGTCTTTATTCCGGTCAGTTAAATATACATGCAAGATATCGACACTTTTCGACAATTAAGTTTAGTACATTAGGGCCGTATGTTCCAAAGTGAACAGTATGTGAATTCATTCTTCGAATTTTTATTAAATAAAGTACTGGCAAATAAGCGAACATTTTTACATGCACACTCACTATGAAATGAATTTGTGCTGGAAATATCAGATGAATTAATACTTGCATCTTTGAACAAGATCATGTGCTGCTTTTTAATCATCGATCAGTATGTTAAACAAACTCATATCTTCAATAATAAACAATGATTTATCTTCAAACTCGAAAAATCTTAATCAGTACTATACGCTTTGGTATTCAGATAAATTCGAGCTAGATCGAAACATTTTTAGTTAAGATCCAAATATATTAGTACAATATTACAGCAAAACTAATAATAATAATGATTGTGTATTTCTGCTCAGGAAGCCAAGAAAAGTAAACCCTTCTGGGATATTTAATAACTTGCTGAGGTCTATCATGGGAGCATATATTCAATCCAAAAATGATTTGACAGTTAGGAATGTTTCTTCGTGCGTAATATATACGATCGAGCGTATGGAAAAAGAAAAAGATTTTTTTTGTATTCACCTATTTGTAACTTCGATAAGAAATAATCCAACCAATTATTTCAATGAGAACGAAAAGTATTCATAATTCACATTATTTACGTAGTTTTTGCACAATCAAATAAATAAACAATAAGTTATCGTATAGCCTTATGTTTTTTTGTTGTCTATTATGAAGTTATTAATTAATTCTCAATTAATATCGTATTTCTTTTCATGTGAAAAACATGCACGATAAAGTATATTTTGCTAGTATAGATTTGCCATCGATAATAATAAATATTCGATATGTCGTTAAATGGCAAATAAAATTAAATATATTAATAATTTCATGTAAATTTCAACATCAATGTTAATGATATGTTATTGTTGTCATTGAAATCTATGATTTTAATTCACAATGTATATCAACTTGAATGGCAAATAAAATTTTTAAATATCTTAACTAATAGCAAGCCCACAATAACTTTTTTAAATACGGAAAAATAAATTTATAGATTTTGAAAAAAAAAATTAAAGAAAAACAGCTAATCATGAAGGTTAATTATCCTTTTTTGATGTTTCTGGAGAACAACTCATTTCACGAATTTGAAATATTCAGAGCAGGTAGATCTTGATAAGTAGAGCAAAAGTTATTCCAGACTGAAACTTTTCAGATGCCGTCTTCTATGATATAATAGAATCACAGTGATTCGCCCATCCCCAGTTTATCCCAGCTTCTATGCTGGATCGAACCGAAAATTTCTTTCTCAAACAGTAAACATTGGTTGGAGTGAGTAGTTTCTTTTTTTTGCACTCAAACAAAAAAGTCGAAAATATTCTCCAAAACACATGTATTGTTTTATCAGAACTACTAAAAATCAGCAAAAATACATTTTTTTGAAACAAAGAAACCTACCCATTTCAAAAAAATGTATAGTTTATGTGTAAAAAGTTCTTGCTCGATCGAATGTACTAGACCGGAGAAACAGAGACGTTTCTGCATTTATTTTTTCATGAAAAAATTGCTTTGACAGAAAAAAACGTGAAACAATATACAGTTGCCCGTTATTTTCATTATGTAAATTTGACTATTTTTAACGTTTAAAGACAATGATTACATAGATACTACTTCAGACTATGCAGGAACTACATAAACAAAGAAAAAATTTAGGTCACGGTAGAACGAAGCGAAGGACTACGTTTAATGAGCAACATTTTATAAAATAATTTAAGTTTTAAAAATAATTCAATGTATAGAAGTTAACTATTAGTTTTTGTATTGAAGGGTAACACAAACAACAAATAATTAACTTATGCTAATTATTTTTCAATAAACTTCAGCAAATCTAAAGGGTAAAGTGTAATTTTATGAAGTATATACACCGAAAGTCTACTGCATAAATAATTTCAATACATGAGATATTGTAAAAGATTTAAAATAAATTGATTTTCAATCAACTTTATTACTACTCAGAGACTTAGTATAAGCTACCGATAGTTTATCTTTTATTTTTATTTTTGTAAGAAAACATTTATTTTTTTTCGGGCTTGAACTCACATCAATATATTTGAATTTAAAATGAGTACCATATATTGATTGAACAATATTACCCGTTAAGACATAAATTTCTATTCTTTTCATCACTTATAAAATGCTAATATATGTATTATAAAAAAAAATCCTTCATGCGTGGTGATAATAATAACAAACAATGACTCACATACAGCTCATCTGCTATTTCCCACGAGGTTTCTTCCTAAGGAAAAATCGTCATTAAATACTTAATAACAAATAAACAAAAGGGGAAATAAAAAGGTTGCAATGCATTCATTTTGATACGATATAAATATACGTTGATTTTTTTCATAAACAATAAATCATATTTAACAAACGATGCTTCGGTTTACGATTTTTCTCGTATGTGTTTTAGCACCATTCACTATTTCGAAAGCGATAAGCAATCCGAAATGTCCTCCATTATGTCGTATGTATTGCAAATATGGCAATGTATTAGATGAAAATGGTTGTCCAATATGTAAATGTAAGCCAAGTCCTTGTGGAAATGAACAAGCTCCATTGCCAAATTACTTTTGTGGTAGTGGTCTTAATCATCAAGATTGTCCATTGAACTCTACATGTGTTATCGCACCAGATGATAGTTATGCTGTTTGTTGTTCTTCTAATGAACAATCTCCAACAAAACCCGTGATAATAATTGAAAAACCAGGTTCATGTCCACCATCATCTAATACGGCAGACAATTGTTATGATGAATGCATAAGTGATACTGATTGTGAAGGAGATTTCAAATGTTGTGGTAGTTGTCCTCGTGTATGTGTTGCACCATCCATTTGAAAAGTATTATGGATTGTTTGCATGGAAAAAAAATAACTTGAGAAATTTTCATATCTATTTTTATGTATGCTAACTAAATAAAATAATGACAAATATTATAAGATGTGTTATAGTGTAATCAGTTCTACATGGTATTTTCCAATTTTTTCTTCTCTTCTCCTATCGTTCATAGATGACACGTACGATATATACATATATATATGTCTTCTTTTTTTCTCTTTGCTGCTCTTCTCTCCTCTTGATGTTATTAAGGTATTTTCCTTCTAGTTAATGTTTTCTTCCAACTACATTTGGTTTTTTTCTTAGTTCATTAGTATATATAACGGCTATTTTGGAAAAAATAAAGAGAGTTAAAAAATTATTATTATCGACCAGTTCGAATCGAAACGCCCCGCTAACAAGATGATAAATGAATATCAAAAAAAAAATTTTTGTACATAGATTTCATTACATAGAAACATAGATTTATATGAAATAGAATAGAATATTATATCGATAATCTAGTTATATTGATTTTATGATTAATAGATTAATAAAAGATTTATATTCATCTTCATTCGTTTCTATACATAGTAAAAAATCATTCCAATTGCTCTGTCTATTTTTCAAGTAGTATTATGAAATCTGGAAAGACTGCATCTCATAGTATGAGTAAAGATGTTTAAATTGATGACGTTAATTTCTTAATAGTTTTTCTTTATCAATAAGTATTGATCGATGACTTCTGATAATTAACATTATAAACAATAGTATGTCATTAGTATCATTCAATATTGATTGTTATAATTTACAATAAACCTTAGGTGAGAGGCTATTTTCGTTTAACAGGAATAAAAGCCATAGAAAACATTGTTTTTTCAATGAATTAATGTAAAATTATCTGTGTATAATAAATTTTTCGTGACGATAAATTACTCTAAAAAACATACGAAAAAAATAATGTGTATATCGTCATTACGATGAAGTATGAATACACCGAAATTCATACAACTGACTAAAACTCACAAATTCTTATTTTTCCCTGGCAAAGAGTGGTATTGACGTCGATATGGATGTTCGTGACAGCCGCAGCCACAACCATCCCCGACTAACAAACGTTACAAAGCCTTGAGTTATTAATGTTGATGTTTTCAAAGTTAAAATGAACTCCAACTTTATCATTAGATTTACAAAACAATAAAAGTTCACATTAGTGGTAAAATAAGATCATCCAAAACGAGTTGTTTCATTAGTTTTCTTATGACTATTCCATTCACTAAATGTATGTGAAAAATTTGACAAGACTTCGTAGAACTTCAACAGACTTCGACAGACTATAGAAAACTTCGAAAGACTTTCAAGACTTCATAAAACTTCACAACCGAAGTCTCAGTTGTTTCCTCCTCGATTCAAACTTATTTTTATCTAAGACATTCGTACTTTACGATTTTCATTCTTCATGTATATATTTTCACCAAAAAGAATTAGCAGATTCGTAATCTCCATCAAAAACTGAATCTATAGACATGTCATTTGTATATTTGTGACAAAAAAAAAACATTGTTGAAAAAGATCCTGGAAAGTATCCCAGACAAAAAATTGCAAAAAGTTTTTTTTGAATTAACTCAATCAGAAAAAAATTTGATTTGATGCTCTGAAACCTGTTGAAAGACGTCATACTAGTTTCTGACAGTTTTTCATAAAGGTAGATTTGTGAGAAGTTTATATTGCTAATAAATTAGAAAATATATCATGTACCATTTAAGTTGCTGAGGAAGCATGATAGTTCTTTTATAGACTCGATATTATAAAATCTATGGGATTTTGAGCCCAAATGGGTTTGTACATTACAATTTTTGTTTTTTTTTTTTAATACATTTTTCAACAAAAATATTATCAAATTCGTAATCTTCGTCAAAAATTGCGTCCAACAACATATAAATCAAGATATTTCAGTTCAAAAAAGTTTTTGTCTAGGGATCTCCCAAGATTTTTTTGAAAAACTTTTTTTTCGTCGCAAATATACAAATGACACGTCTATAGATCCGATTTTTGATGAATATTATGAATCTGCTATTCTTTTTGGTGACAATATGTACATGAAGAATGAAAATTGTAAAGTACTAGTGCATTTTAGCATGTAATGAAAGACATTTTAATAATTTCATAGGCAATAATTGCTCTAATTACACTCATAAATCCAGTTTTTGATGAACATTAATTTGATATGTTACACCCTGTATATTCATAAAAAGAAATACTTGCCTTTAAAACATTTCTCGATCATTTTAAAACGAAAAATTCAATATAACAATTTATTAACATTTTCATTCTAGTTGTATCGATTTTGAACATGACCTCTTCAATGATTTGTGATACAAAGACAATGCTCAAGAATAATATGTATGAATAAATTTAAAAAAATATTCATGATAATCAAATAACGTTATCTAAAGCATGTTCTGTTTTTTTAATTAAGAATATCTTATTAGCATTAGTATTAAGAAAAACCCTAATACTGTAATATTATTTGGGTATTAGAATTCATTAATGCTAGAATATCACAATTATTTTTAATTCTAATGCATAAGACACCTGCTATATGACCTTTTAGAGTTCAAATTCTGAAGTCTTCAATAATAGAACATTTTTTTCCTGCAATGGAAATGGCAATCTTGAGTAACAAAACTTTGTTCTGTTCTATGAAAGCAATTAGTAATAACAAAACAAAAGTATTCTTCTATTGTGAACTTCTGAACTGAAAGTTTTAAACGTATTGTCGCAGGTAATTAAAGATATAAGAATTAAAAATGATTCTAACACCTTCGCATTAATTAATCTTAATGCCAAAGAATATCGTAACATTAGGTTTAATTTCAATATTAATACATCATCCATACTCTTGATTAATAATTAAGTCGGTTGGGCATAGAAAGATCAAAAAAGAAAAATATTGAACAAAAGTGATGTGTTCAAGATGGGTATGAATGTAGATGAAGAGAAGATTCGAAGTCACAAACACACTCATATCCCTTATGCTAAAAATAAAGAATGTCTGGTTAGTTGAAATTTTCAATATTTTATCCTTCAGTCTTTCGACAGCACATCAAATAAATTTAAATAAACAGAATTGAAAATAGAGTGTCTTATATAATAATAAAATAATTAAAAAACACTAACTAGTTTTGCCCTATTTTTGAAATATTGAATAATTTAATTGATGTTTAACAATATCGAATTTCATCTTTTCTTGTAATCTCTAGATTTAGCAATAAGAAATATACGATTGACAAAAAATATAAGTGATTTTTCGTAAACATTTACACACATGGTTTTTTTTTCATAAATATTGTTGTATAACAAGGGAGGAAAATGCATAAGATGGTGCAGTTTGACGGTATTCATAGAGAATTGAAATTAATTAAATATTCCGTTTCTATTAATGATAAAGATATCAAGATTGACTCTGTTCTGTTCGTCGACAGATATATGAACACTTGCAAGAAAATGGTAACTCAACAATTTCTACTAGATGAGAACCAGCTTTTTTTCATGTTAGCTCTTCTTCGAAAATGATTATTCCTTCCTGAGAAATTTATCTGATTACATAGTATACAGAAATAACAAAATGTCCTATATTGCTTGACCTGAAAACAAGAGATACATAAAAAATGTTTGATTTATTAATTATCATGAGAAAAATATAGAACAAATCAATAATTTAAATAGCAAATATGTTGAAGATAGATAAAATATTCTCTGTCTGCCATTATATGCCGTCATTCGTTACTGACTTTATCATATTCAAATCAATCTTGAGCAAAGATCACCAACGAATGAACACAAGTTTTTCGTTGTCTGATAACGTCATTCGGCAGTACCGGTAACTTCTCTCTTATACTTAATGCTTTAATTCAGTCTTACTACAAATTTTATTTGAAGTAGATGAAGTCTCGCTTTTTTTCTTCTTGATCAAACCTCATCGATTAGTAATATTGCAGTAATACTGTTTAGCTTGTGTTATAAAAATCGACAAATCAAAAAAATTATATAAATAAGTTATGATCTGTACTAGCCTACAAATTTGAGATGTCTACAAATGACAAATTTCTATTATCTTTACTAACATAATATTGACAAAAAACAAAAGAGAAGAATCATATTGTGTAATTGTATAATACATAATACCGACAGAATCTCAGTAGTTTGCTATAAGATACAAGAACCTTTTGTAACACCAATCTACAATGTTAAAAGCAGAAGTAAAGATATGATTCTATTGAATGATTCGTTTTTAGAATGTTACAAACTAGAAAATCGTTTACAATTAATTCTATTATAAATCAATAGCATAATTTTCCGAATTAGATTAAATCTTGAAACTCGATTAAATAAATAAGATAATCATTAACAAATTAGTAAAAAGAATATCAAGTTATTAAAAGAAGAAAAACAAAATCTATCATATTCATAATTGAAATAATTTTTAAAAAGTTTGAAAAATCTCAATTAAGTGATAGAATTCGTACACTAATCACTTATTTCATTTTTATATTAATATTTTATAGACAAACATCTAGAATAAATCATATATGAAAACTTTCAAATTGTATAATATTTCTTAGCCTATACATCAGCAAAACAAAGATCCCTATTTTTTTGATACAACAGCTGATAAGTATTGAGAAAGATCATAGTAAAATATTTTATTTCAATATAAAATTATAATTTTAATTGAAGTAGTTGAAAATTTATCGATTACAAAATGAGAATTATTGTATATTTGATAGGATATTTTTTATAACCATATAAGAGCATATGTCTAAAAAATTAATTATTAATAATGTTAATTAAACATTATCTAAAATAATTGAATATCTGATTAAGAAAAATTAATAATAAACACTCATTTTATTATTTGACTTGCCGAAAATGATATTGCTGTTTTTTGTCTTCCTCAAACCTATGGCTCTATTGTTAATTATTTTTTTTCCTCATAGGTTAAAGCCATATGTGATGAG